GATGTGCCCGGCTCGGGATGGCTCCCACTGAGCCCCCCTCCCCGCGAGGCCGTAGCCCTGGCTCCCATCAGACGCTGGGATGCGATCCCATCCAACTGCCCGCACCGTGTGCGCGCAAGAACAGACCCCCAGCAGTCCCCCAGCCCGTCCGCCTCCACCGGGGAGGCTGCCCCAGGCCCACGGCCGCGGCCCCGCTCCGGGGCTGGGGATGCAGGAAGGTGCCGGCCCCGCTGTTTGCACACCGCCAGCAGCCGCTCTCCCGTCTGTTTGCTTTTCGCCTGCATCTCTATAGCAAATGTTAACGAGGCAATAAAAGCCGGGCACAAATTGCCCAAGGGCGGGGCTGGGAAGAGGAGGGGGAAGGGGGGATGCCCCACTCCGTTGCTCCGTAGCTCCGCTCCGCGTTTTTCACGGCCCTCCGCCGCCGCTCTGCCCGCAGAGCCCCGGCACCGGGAAAAACGGGCGTGGAGCGGTGCGGAGTGGGGCTGCTCCGGGAGCCCGAGGGCTGGGAGCGGTGCGGAGCGGGCACCTGACGCGTGTCCCCGCGGGATAGCGGGCAGGGTGCGGCACCCCGTGCGTGTCACCGCGCATTAACGCGTCCGTGCGCTGTCTGCGCGTCTCCGCTCCCACCCGGCGCGTATCCCCGCCGCTCCCCGGGTGGGTCCCCAGAACCGGAGCCCCCCCGCCCTTCTCCCCCACTCCTCCCTCTCTCCCTCCCTCCCTCCCTCCCTGCCGGCTGCAGTTTCCTCTCCCGCCAGCAGCGAGCAGCAAGTGGATGCGCGACCGTGGCACACACCCGCACACGCACACACACGCACACGCACAGCCGGCAGCAGGCAGCGGGCGGGCAGCACCGAACACCGCGAGGCTCCCGGGCCCCCCCCGCCGCCGCATGCCGGCCCCGGCCGCTCCGCCGCCCCCCGCTGCCCCCGCGGCACCCACGCCCCGCGCCTCGCCGCCTCCTGCAGCCGCCGCCGTCTGATGAGCCCCGCCGAGCCCCGCCGCCATGTACCTCGACCCGGAGGCTGCGAGCGCAGGTGAGGCCGCCCCGCACCGGCACCGCGCCCCGCGGGTCCCCCCTTTTCTCCCGCACCGAGCGCTGCTCCGCGGAGAAAGTCACCGCTGCCGCTTTCAAATGAGTCACGCTCCTGCGGAGCATCCCCTCCTTCCCCCCCCCCCCCCCCCCCCCCCTCCGCGGTGCAGCCCCCGACCTCGCAGCCCCCTCCCTGGTGGGATTCCGCAGCCCCCTCCTCGCCCCCCTCCCGTGCTGGGCTGCGTGCTTTGGGGAGGGGGCTGCACGCCGCCGTTTTGCTGAGCTCACGCTCCCCGGGCGCCGCTCGGCCCCGTCGTCAAGAATGTGGGGCGCTGGCGGGGAGGAGGTGGCGGGCGTGCGGCCACCGCGGTGCCCGAGCGGCGATGGCACGGCGTGGCTCGGTGATAGCCGCCGGCAGAAGGACATGGGGACATCACGGGGACGCGTGGCAGAGCACCGTGAGCTGCAGGCCTGCGGGATGCGGCCGCGCCGAGGGGCACCACCACACATTGTCACCCGTGGCGGGCGGCAGCGCTGACAGCCTTCGAGGGGACGCTGTCGCCCGCTCGGTGCCACTGTCCAGCTGGGATCTCCTGCGGGATCAGCCGGTGGCCCAAGGTCACCCGGCAATGCGATGACAGTGGGGAGATGGGACAGGTCCCCAGCAGCCCCTTGCTCACCCTTTCTGCAGCCCAGGCTCTGCACTGGATTCATTCCCCCTCCAGTGCGCCCCCGATTTGCTCCCGGAGTCACATCCTCCTTGCCCCCTGTGACTGCCGTGCCTTCACAAGGTTGGCATTGGGATGGAGCACACACCCCTTCTGTCCCTTGGTCCCACTCCCGGCTCTCTCACTACGTGGGGCATCCCTATGAAACTGGCCCTATAGCATCAGGGTGCCGCAGTGGCTGACACCAGGGCACCATCTGCTCTGCTCGCTGCTCACCTGCCTGCCCCTCTGCTGCTCCATGGTTCCGTTCCCCCCTCTGAGTTTGGCACCCATGGCCAAGCCACTGGATATAGGTGGCCTTGGGGACAGCTGGGGTGCCAAGAGGAGGACAGCATAGGGACCAGGTGCCAGCAGCATTCTCTCCCCAGTGCTGCGCTCTCCATGGGCACAGCCAGCACTGTTGTTGCCGCTGTGGGGGAGATGCACGGGGTGATGGGGGTAACTTCAGTGTCACCAGCTATGTGCACAATGGGTGAGACCTCCTCTTCCCCTCTCCCGCAACAACTGCACCCAAATGCTCTATTCCTGTGCCCCAGACAGGTGCAGGGAGCTGTGGTCACCATTCCCCACCTGCATCCTCGTCCTCGCTCCCCACCTGCGTCCTCATCCCTGCGGGTGCAGATAAATAACCCAGTGTGTCTTGCCAGGAGCCAGGCATCTGCTGTGTCCTGCACGTTCCCTGCCTATGCCCATGTCCCCATGCAGCCCTGTCCTGTCCCCATGGAAGTGGGGTGCCCATGGGAGTGCCTGGGATGGAGATGGGGATGGGGACAGAGATAGTGACAGGGATCAGGGCAGGGATAAGGATAGGAATGGGGATGGGGATGAGGATGGGCCAGCTGATGGGGACACAGGGACATGGGGATGGGGAGCTGTGGTCGATCCCCCGGTGCAAAGGAGCAGAGCGGAACCAGAGGTGGCTTTTCTCTGCCTGATCTCGCGGCTTTTCAGCCTGCTGGGGAAGGGCGGAGAGAGACGAGGGGAATGAAGACAGATGCTGATAATATCACTGCCACCCCCCAGCCCCTGGGGGCTCAGCTCCAATATCTATTATAGATGAATTCAGCAGGGGAAGGGCTTTCGAAGAGCAGACAGTGGGGCTGGTGCGCGGTGGCTGTGTACAAAGGCAGAGCGCCAGCCTGAGTGTTAAGCAGGAACAGCGGGGACTTGGGGACAAGGCTGAGGGCACACCATGGGGCATGGTGTGCTGGGGGCACGGCAACTTGGTCCTGTGCCCCATGGTGCCATCGTGCCATCATGCCGTGCCGTGCAACCAGCTGTGAGCTTGGGGTGCCCCGGGAGCATGCAGGGTCTCCTGTCCCTGGGTATCATCCCCGGGCAGCTCCGTTCCTGGCCGTGCTGCAGGAGAGAGCGGGTCACCTTGGGGGGAGTTAATGAGGTTTGAAAGGGAAGCGGCTGATGGCGCTGCTGGAGACGGAGCCGAGGCATTGAGGGAGGGAGGGAGGGCACAGCATGTGGCACGATTCTCTCTGTCCAAGCCAGGGTACCCCTATGGTGGGATGCATGAAGATGGAGATGGAGATGGGGACCCGCCCTGCTGCCCCATAGGTGACCATTCCCACTGTCCTGGGGTGTGAGTGCATCACTGAGGGTGCAGTTCAGGGTCCCTCTGTGGAGACGGGGGTGAGGAGAAGGAGGAGGCTGTACACATGGGGCCATGTTTTGGAAAGACAGCTGGGGCTGAGCCAGAGCTATCTGTGCTGGAGGACACGGGATGTCACAAGGATGTCAGGAGCTGGGATGCTGACAAGGGAGGTAGTGCTTGGTTTGATGGCTGGGCATCTGTGGGTATGCAAAGTTCTGGGGGGCTCAGGTGCTCATCAGAAGCGGGAAGCAGAAAGCAGAGAAACCACGCATGTCTCCGGAAATCCTGAGCTGAAAATAACCTGACTGCAGGAGAGCACTGGGGGAAGAGTGCATCCATGTGCTGCCCTCTGCGTGCAGATGCACCCAGCCGACGTGGGCATGAGGACATGGTGCCCTGGGGGTCCCCACTGCCCCTCCCTGTGCCATGCTGCAGGAGGGTATGTGGCACCAGGAGGGCACAGTGCCGGTATTTTGGAAGGGTGCCCATGGGTGCTGCTGCCACCTTTTGCACCTGAAGTGTTGGCATTCCCAGCAGAGAGGGACTGGGGAGGTGTTGGGGGTCCCTGGGGTGGGCGGCTTGGTGTGGACGGAGGCAGGGATGGACAGACTGGCAGCTCCGGGGGCTGGCCAGATGGCTGGATGGAGAGACAGCTGTGTACGAGGGATGGACGGGTGGCTGGAGAGATGGATGGGTGTGTTGGAGAGGGGGGCATGCGGATAGACAGACAAATGCACAGATGGAAAGCAGACGCCTGTTCCCAACCCTCTCGCCCTGGGCGCTCCTAGCATGATGAGCAGCAGTGCTCGGTGGAGACAGGTGCTGAAAGCGTGGCCAGCAGCTTGCTGGGGTGGCCACCAGCAGCACTGGCTGAGTGGCCGTGCACTCTCCTCCTGGGGGCTTCCATCTCAGCTCCCCCTGCATCCTGCACAGGAGCACAAAGCTGCAAATTCGCAGCTTCTCAGCTGCAACCTAAAAATAAGAGCTTTGGAAAATATCTAGCAAATGGGTAGGAGGATGAGCAAGGGAGGAACGAACGGCGTGGCACCAGGCGAGCGGCATCTGGGAAGCCCCGCTGTGGCACCGCGGCCGCTTCACTCCTGCCCCATTGCACGGCACAGCGCGGGGCGGTGCTCCTGCGGCGCACAGCGATGCTCTGAGCCCACACCCACCAGGACCGGGCGCCCCATTTCCATCCCTGGGCTCGCCATCTCATCCCTCGGTGGCTGCGGGCGCTCTTGGCACCCTCGCCCGCTTCCCCTTCCGCTGCCGGCGCTTGGCACGCGACAGAGCCTCGGCGCGGAGCCGTGCACGCCGGCTACGGGGAGCGGCTGCGATCGCGCTTCCCGGGAGCGCAGCAGGCGGGGGTTATTTTGGGAGCTTCGAGAGGAGGCTCCGTGCTTTGATGCTCCCCGCAGAACATTTGGGGAATTGGCCGTTTTCAGGCTCTGTGCCCTTTTTGAAGTGCCGTGAGCGTGACGCGGTCATAGGGGTGCCCATCCTTCCCAGGCAGGGGCCGTGTCTCCCCCCCCCGTGCCACCTCTCTGCTCGCTGGGCAGCACCTGCAGCTGGAGACAAGCTGGGAGCTCTGCGCTCGGTTTCTCTGCTTAATTAAGCGATGCTAATTGACTGGAAAACAACTCATTGTGAGTGCTGCTGCAGCACTGCCCAGCGGAGCCGGGGGCGTGTGACCCCGCGATGTCGCCGGGGCAGGAGCCAAAGTCCCCTTGGTGACAGCATCCTCTGCTTTCTCCTTCGCTCTAAGAGGGATAATCCTCAGCGTCATGCCTGCAGCACGCCGTCCTTCTCCCTTTTAATTTCCCTTTATGGGATTATACTAGAGATGAACTTGACCCTGTGAGAAGTGGCAGCCACTGGCACAGGGCACAGTCCCTGCGTCCATGCACTTGCATCGCTGGAGCTGCATTTTCCAGCTGACACCTTCCCATCTGCCCTTCCCTTGGGGATACAGTGGATACCAGAAGGGCAGAAGCACGGTGGATTCTCAGCACTTGGAGCACCGGGATGCAATGCCAGGACGGCATCCCATGTGTCACCATGTCCCCATATGGGGCAGCTGCGAGCAGAGCTCAGCCCCATTGCCTCCAGCACTGTGCTAAGCGCCACACTCCTCCATGGCTCTTTCTAAATGTTAGAAATTAAGGGCTGGTCCCAAATTCCCTCCTAGGCAACAGTTGCTAAGCGGGTTCTATACACGGGGCCTCGTGACCAAGCGCCGGATCCCCCCCCTCCCTCCCCGCCCAGTTCTGTAGCACGTGTGTATCCCAGGTCCCCATCCCACAGTGCCACCCATCCCTGGTGGCACCATCACCTGCTGGCCCTCCCGGCACCCGGCTCCAGGGGCACTCATCCAACTCTTATTGCCACCGTGCCCCTGCCTCGCCCCCCATGGATGGAGGCTGCCAGTGCTTTGTCACCTGTTGTCCCCCTGTGGGCTTCAGGCGTGGGAGCAGGGCGTGGGGTCCGGCTGCCGTGACTCATGCAAGCGCCGGAGCCACTGGCAAATTTCATTACAATAACAAGGGCTGCGGGTGAATTAATTATTAACCATTATTGTTTAATATTTATACTGCAGCACGGCTCGGGGTGGGCTCACTCCAGCCTCTCTGTCCACATTGGTGGTGGGGATGTCTGGGCATGGATGGCACCGTGGCCAGGTTTTAACGTTTATTAGGAATCCATTCGACATATTTTTGTTCTGAACATTTAGCATTTGCTCATCTACCTTTTTCATGGACATACGGCCTCTGAAAACAGCAGCTACAGTCGTGGATGCCAGGGATGAGGTCCCACCAGCCCCCCGTAGTGCAATGGGGCAGGGTGGTGGCCCTGCCATGTGTCCCTAGTGATCCTCTCCCCATTTGTGCCCACGCCACAGGTGCTGTGGAGTGGCCGTGGGTCCCCAGGAGGGCTGTCCATCCACACTTAGGTCCCCCAGGCTCAGCTCTGCTCTGCTCCTCCCCAGGGGCCCCCTCCCGCGATGTCGTCCTCGTCTCCGCCATCATCACTGTCAGCCTTAGCGTCACCATCATCCTGTGTGGCATCTGCCAGTGGTGCCAGCGCAGACTGGTAAGTGTCCGTGGGGCAGGGTGCAGGTGGTGAGCACACCTGGGGGCAGCAGGATGGCCATGCTCTGCAGCAGGACAGCTAGCCCATCCCCGTCCCTGTGCCTGTGTCCCACTATAACCTCCTAACTCGCTAGTTGTGCTCCTCCCTGCTGAGCATCCATTGAAAATCACAGCACAGCACTGCCCCGATTCCGAGCCCCAGTTCCTCTGTGTGTGCCACCGCATCCCTTATGCTGAGAATGGCAAATCAATTAACCCAGGGTCAATTAAGCCTGAAATTATCTCCTCCAACTTGGGGGCAGTGCCTGGCTCTGACCCCTCTGCTGTCCCCACAGGGAAAACGGTACAAGACATCCCTGGAGACTGTGGGCACACCAGATTCCAGCCGAGGCCGCAGTGAGAAGAAAACCATCAAGTAGGTGCCAAGGCAGGGGGAGAGGGGCTGGGATGGCACTGCCACAGTGCCCTGCCTGCTGTCATCCATGGACATGTGGGGACACCAGGATCAGGGCATCCACGGGAGGACGCACCATGGGGACAGAGGTGGCTGTCCCAGTGATTTTTAGGCTGGGGATACCGAGCAGTGTGTGGTCTGCAATTATGCCAAACATCCATCCCTGGTCTTGCAGTACTCCATAGAGAGCTGCTGTCCCCTTGGTTGGAGTGGAGGTGTCACCACGGCCCCCAGCAGCAGAATGGGGTGCCACTGTGGCACTGGAGCTTGGGTGCACGTGGGGGACACTCACACACCGTGGGATGGAGCACACTTCGCCTGTGCAGATACTGGCAGGACGCAGGACGGGATCCCTGTGTGTCCACACAATGTCCCAAAAGGAGCGCACAGGGGGGACAGTTCTGGCAATGGGATTCCCTCTACTCACTGCTGCGTCCCTCTCCAGATCCGGCTGCCAGAATGCTGGGAAGCAGCCCTGCACCACAATTCTCTAACCCTCTGCACCCTTCTCTCCTCTCAGCCTGCTCCCATCTCTCTGCAGCCATCCGTCCGTCCATCCGTCTTGTCTGTTTCTCTCCACAGGGCCCAGCCGGGGCGGGGGGCTGCGCTCCCCCTGGCAGGAATTCAGCTTTCTCTCTTGTATTTCCCTCTTCTTTCTCCCTTCCCACGGTCTGCTGTAGCGATCTAGACAGAGACTTTTGGAATAACAATGACAACACAGTGCAGCAGAAATGGAGCTCGTACCCTCCCAAGGAGTTTATTCTAAACATTTCACCTTACGCCCCATACGGTGACCCGCGCCTTTCCCTCAAGTGAGTCTCTCCTTACCGGGCTATGACTACATGGGCAGCACCCACGCGCCTTCCTCCTCCTCCTCCTCTTCCTCCTCCCCCCCCGGCCCCATGGGCAGCCCCATGGAGACGAGCAACCCCGGGGCCCCCGGCAGTGCGGGGTGGTGTTGCACGTTTTGGACAGGGCTCCTTTCCCCTTTGTCTTTTGTTTGTTTTTTTTTTTTCCCTTTTGGATTTGTACCATTCTGCCCCGCACGCCTTCCAGGCCCCCCCTCCTCCCCCGGCCCGTTTATTTTGATTTATTTTTTTGGCAGTGCTGATGTCTCTCTCTCTCTCTCTCTCTCTGTCCGTCCCTTGTCTGTCTGTCCACCTCTGGCTCTGTGCCCTCCTCCTTGTCCCTCCGCACACCATGGCTCCCTGACACGTCCGTCTGTCTATCCGGCCCCTTTCCATGTCTGTCCTGGGGGGGTCCGTCTGCCGGCCCGGCCCAGTGGCTCTCTGTTATCAGGGGCTAAGCTGACAGCATCGGCCACCGCAGGCTTGGCCGGGGACCGCGACGGCCGCCCCGGGGACAAGCAGCAGTGCGCCGAGGACGGCATGAGGAGCAGCATCTCTGCGCACAGCGAGCCCGGCGCAGGGAAGGCAGCGAGGGGCCGCTGGCACACGGTGCAGAGCCACTTGGCCGCAGGGAAGCTCAGCCTGTCCAAGTGAGTGAGCACGCACAGCCCTCCCGGATGGATGCCCCCTTCTCCCCCCCCTTCTCAGGGGGGTCAGGAGCCGCTCGCCCGCATCCCTGCAGTGCTGGGACATCACGGGGACGCGCTGCTCCGCCGTCCGTGTGCCATCCACAGTGCAACCCCGTGCATTGGGGCACAATCTGAGCTTTAGGGGAAAAAGTGGTGGCAGCAGGTTGCTGGCCGGGGTCTCGAGGTCTCTGTATTCTCCACCTCCTCAAACTGGGGCTGCAGCAGCCCCTGCTCCATCGGTCGCTGAGTTCAGATCCCAAAAACGCGCCGGCAAAGGACGTGGGGATGCTGGGCCTGGGCCCAGGGCAGCATGGCTCTGCTGGATGCTGCTGAGCTCTGCGTGGTGCACTGAGCCAGGTGCAGGGGGATGGACAGAGTTAAGGGGATGGCAATGCCGCCCTCAAAGTCATTGGGATTTTTTGGCATCTTTGCACACAGCCTACTTGTGTTCGGGTGTTGCTGTGGGACAGGGTTCCTCTTGTGCAAGGCATCCCGGGCAGGAGCCACGTGGGTTGAACTTGGTGTCATCACACTATGGCCATTCCGTGCCACCATCCCACGGCCACTCAGTGCTGTCCTTCCGTCACCATCTTACAGCCACTCAGTGCCCTCTGGTGGCATCATCCCTCGGCCACTCAGTGACCTCCCGGTGCCATCATCCCACGGCCACTTGGTGCCCTCCCGGTGCCACTGCCTCCCAGCCCCTCAGTGCCCCCCAGAACCCCATGGGGACAGATTTGGGGGCTGCGGTGCCCTGTCCCTATGCGCGTCCCACATGGCGCGGTGTTGGCAGATCCGGAGCCTCCAGCTGGCTTGGGGCCGAGCAGAGCCAGATTTAGTTTCCCATGATGGAGAGGTTGTAAATGGAACTAATTTCAGATTTGATAGGAAACTGAAAGGAGGTCGGCGGCGGGCGCGGAGGAGGCACAGCACCCCACGTGCCTTTGGGCCCCAGGGGCCTCAGGGCCAGATCTGTCCCAGCTCTCCACTCCCCTCCCTCTTCTCTCTCTTTTTCCCACCTCTCACTCTTTCTTCATCCCCCCCCCCCTTTTTTTTTTTAATTACTATTTTTATATATATATATATATAAGTATGTATATATATATATAAAATTTACACTGCCTGCAGCTCTGCCTCCCTGCTGCTGCAGTGCACAATGGCACAGCTTTGCCCCGCTGGCCCCTGGGCAACAAAGGAGCCATGGTGCTGGGGAGGAAGGCTGCTTCTGAAGAAGGCTCCCCCCGCATCAAGGACCCCCTCAAGGCTTTAGCCAGGCTGGCTGGGCTGCATGCCCTTCTTCAGCACAACAGCACCACGCCACACACCTGCTGCTCTGCATGTGGGCAGCACCCGGCGCCACACTTTGTTCCCATCCATGAGAGTCATGGGCTTCCCAAGGGTGCCCAACAGCAATGCACATCCCCATGTTTGCCAACCCGACGGGATCCGTCTGCTCTCCCTGTTGCTGTGTGCCTGTTGTGCTCTGCTCGTGCCCCGGCTTCACCCTTGGGAACGTGTGGTGCATTACGCCATCCCAGCATGCTGCGATGCTCCGGGGACGGTGGTGCCACGCATCCTGGGTGCTGCTGTGCTGGGAGGGATGGGGTAACGGGGACAGGGCGGGCTGGCTGCAGCACGTGAGCGGGAGCCGTGTGGCACCAAGGGACCCGCCTTCCCACAGCAGCAGCCTCATTACGCAGCTGGCAGACGAGGTCAGACGGGCGCTGCGAACACACCGGGCAGGCGGCGGTGGTGAGATGGCGGCGCGGGAGCGCAGAGAGGCTGTGCTGCAGCCGGGAGGCAGAGAAACCGCTGGCTGTAGCCTCTGGCCCCTGCCAGAGTGCTCCCTGCACTGGGGCATCTTCTCGCTAACTCTCTTCTTTTCCTTCCTCCAATTTTGCCCCTTCACCTTCTTCTCCTTTCTCTCCTCTCCTCTGCCCTTCCTCTCCCTAAGTTTCGAGGACTCCACCCTGTCCACAGCCACTACCCTTGAGTATATCCCCACCTCAGCAGGCGACCCCAAATGCCAGAGGCCCCGCACGCTCATGCGCCAGCAAAGCCTGCAGCAGCCCCTCAGCCAGCATCAGCGCAGCAACCACAGCCAGCCGACCACAAGCCAGAGCCTGGGCCACCTCCAGGCCCACAGCAGCTCCTCCGGCGGCGCCAGCAACCCCCGGGTCTCCCGCGGTGGCCAAGTGCGCCAGGGCATCGCTGCCGGCTCCAAGCAGCGCACGAGCCGCTCCAACCCCGGCAGCTGGGACCACGTGGTGGGGCAAATACGCAACCGTGGCTTGGACATGAAGTCCTTCCTGTAAGTTCGCTCGCGGGCTTCTCCTCTCCCCGGCGGTTCCTCCAGGCTTGGGTAAAGCCCACGGCAGGGGTTCAGGGAGGGCTCCCATCTGCCCAACCTGGCTCGGTGCTCATGGGTCCCGTCAGCTCCATGGGATGAGGGGATGCAATGGTGACGGTCCCCCTACGTGGGGTGCCCAGCTGCATGGCCCCAGTTTCGGTGCCCGCTCAGGCTGCAGGGTGCTCCATGCCATCCCTGTATCTCGCCGTGTGCTCTCCCCGTATCTTGTTGCACACCGTCCCCATATTTTGCCATGGGATGCCGTCACTGCTCGGTATATCCCATCCTCTGCATCCTTCCCGGAGTCACCTCCCCCAGTGCGAGGGTCCCCTCAGCTGCAGGCATCCCGTCATCCATCCCCAGCTCACTGCCAGTGGGGACCCCCTCTGTGCTCTGCTGTGTCCCACAGGCTCTGCCCTCTCCCTCCAGCTCCACTGTCCAGCCTCCTGATTTATAGCTGAGGCTCATCAGCCATCCCCAGGGTCATGTTGCTCTCTGTTTCCATGGGTTCCAGCCCCAATTTGTGTGGGACCCCCCACCCAGAGCTGGGACGCACCAAGTGAGCTACGACCATTCTGCAGAGCCATTAATGCTGCTTTTGCTTTTTGCTCTCTTTACTTGGCATCGTGGTGCCATCGTGGCCCCAGGATGCCGCTGACACCTGTCACCCCACGGCCCTCACCCACCCCCAGATGCCATTTCCTCTGCAGGGGCTGCGCTCCCGGTCCATCCCCACCTGTAGTCCACATCCTGATGCTGTGTTCTCCTCTCTCTTTCTCTCCCCCCGTCTTGCTCCCTCCCCGCCGGGCAGGGAAGGCCGGATGGTGGTGTTATCCCTGGTTTTGGGACTCTCAGAGCAAGATGACTTTGCCAATATCCCCGACCTGCAACCCGCTGGGACGCAGCCGAACCAGCCGAACGCTCAGGGGGACAAGAGGTAGGAGGAAGGAAGAGGGCAGTCCTGCAGGAGGACGAGACGCAGGGTGGAGGAGGAGGAGGAGGAGGCGGCCAGCCTCGCGGAGCGCCCAGGTTGGAGCGACCAGGCAGCGGGCACGGCGACGGCTGCAGCTCTCCCCGCTAGAGCGGCAACGCCGAGCACACCCTGACCCCTTCCTCCCCATCCTTCCCTCCTTCCCTCCGTCCATCCCCATCCCCATCACTGATGGCCGCATGCTGGGGGGGTTCAGGGCACCGTGCCAGGAGAGGATGCACTGCCGGGGCAAGGGGATCCCCAAAATGCTGCACCACACCGTGGTGCACACGCAGGGATGGCTCCGTGGGAGCTGTGCCTTCACTCTGGGGTTTCTTTTGGGGCCGCCTCAAGCTCCCAAGTGGCACCAGGAGTCCTCATGTTGGTGGCAGTGCCACCTTAGAGGAGGGCAGCTGTGCCTCCCAGCACGATTGTCATGTGAAGGCAGTGGCCCTGCTCTCTCCCACCAGCTATTTTTACCCCGCTTGCCTTGGTTTTGCTCCATGTTTTAGCAAGTTCCCCAGTGCCGCCGTCACATGACCAACACTTCCATCTCCTTCTTCCATCTCGTGGCCCTGCAGCAGGGACAGCTCTGCGCCTCGTGACGTCTCCGTCCATCTGTCCCCATTTCTCAGCTTCTTCCTTTCCTTGCAGCCCATCCTGGAGGAGCACCACAGCAAATCTCCCGTGCCAGCGGCCGACCTCTCCGTGCGTCCCGCTCCTCTCTCCCTTCCCTCCCACCAGGCCCACTGCAGAAGTCGCTCCTCCTTCCCTCTCTCGCTCTTCCTCCCTTTCTCTTGCTGGCTCGGCGCACACCACCAGGCAGCTCCAGGCACCTTTGCTCTGTTCTTAACCTGACTTTGCCTCCCCAGCTCTCTCTGTCCTCCCTGTCTGCCTGTGCGAGGGGGCTGCCCCTGTGCCGCCTCCATCCCCCCCCACCCCAGGTCTCCAACATTTCCATCAGTGCTGCGTGTGCTTGCCGTGCTGATGGGTGTCTGCATGCCCGTGCCTTTTTTGCCCCAGGGTTGGCACCGCCGTGCTCCGTCTGTCAGTGTGTCCCCATATCGTGTGCTATCCCCACAGCTGGGGTGCGCATCCCCTCCTTCCTTGGATCTGTCCCTGCCACTCTGTGCCCATGTCCCCATCATGCATCGTGGCAGCGTGGTCCTGGCGTGTGCCCATTGCTGCTCTGTCCATTCACAACTCCATGCCCAGCTCCTGGGATCCACACAGAGACAGATGGGGCTGAAGGACCCCGGGTCAATGGTGACAGCAAAGGGGACACTTATCAACCAGGCACTGTAGCACAAAGCAACTGGGCTTGGCCACACTAAGGGGACCAGTGGCTGTGCCATACCACACTGGTGGCATGCCAGGTTTGAGAGACCCACGTGCTGGCACAGACTGTGTGCATCCAGGGCACCAGGCTGCTGTAGGCTGCCAGCATCTTGCAGCCTGGATCTGGCACACCCCGTCCTGCAGGCACCTCCTGTTCCCCTCCGGCCCCGCTCTAGGGCACTCCTTCTCTCTCTGCAGGTTGCCAGCTGGTGGCAAGGCGGTGAACACTGCACCTGTGCCCGGGCAGACACAGCAGGATGAGTCTGATCGCAAGACGGAGCCACGCTCCTCTGTCTCCGACCTGGTGAACTCCCTGACCAGTGAGATGCTTATGGTGGGTCCTGTGGTGGGAAGGAGCTCTGCCGTGGGGTTGGCTGCCCCTTCTCTGTTTATGGCTTGCTGGCTGTGCCCCCCTCGCGGGGACATGATGGCTGCACTGTCAGGAGGGATTTGGCTAATTGGTGCTCCCCATTCCACTGGAGTGGAGCCAGGGGTCAGCTGAGGAAATGCCCGCGGGTGGGAAATGGGAGATGGGAGATGGGCTGATGCCTGCTGACAGCCACCGAACTGCGGGAGCCAGCACTTGGAGCTCTGTGCGGTGCGGCAGAACAACTGGGATGGGGACAACGGCCCCACTCACTGCTCCTTGTCCCCTTCTCACAGCTTTCACCGGGCTCCGAGGATGATGAAGGCCACGATGGCTCCAACCGGGAGAACCTGGGCCGCATCCAGTTCAGCGTGGGCTACAACTTCCAGGAGTCCACCCTGACCGTCAAGATCATGAAGGCACAGGAGCTGCCAGCCAAGGACTTCAGCGGCACCAGTGACCCCTTTGTCAAGATCTACCTGCTACCTGACAAAAAGCACAAGCTGGAGACCAAGGTGAAGCGGAAGAACCTCAACCCGCACTGGAACGAGACTTTCCTCTTTGAAGGTATGGGCTGGGAGGGAATGGGATGGACACCAACATCTGTGGGTGTCACCTCATGGCCTCCATCTCCGGCGCAGGGTTCCCCTACGAGAAGGTGGTGCAGCGGGTGCTGTACCTTCAGGTCCTGGACTATGACCGCTTCAGCCGTAACGACCCCATTGGGGAGGTGTCCATCCCCCTCAACAAGGTGGACCTCACCCAGATGCAGACCTTCTGGAAGGACCTGAAGCCCTGCAGTGATGGCAGCGTAAGACCCATGGGGAGGTGGGGCCCCTGGGGGCTGTGACTGTCCTTCTGATGTCCCAATAGGGTTAAATCCTTGTTTGGGGTCAAAATGAGATATTTCCGGCAGACCTAAAATGAAAGATTTCTTTTCCTTCTGCAGGAAATGTCCCACTTGGGGCTGGCCCCGAAAGGGACACACTGGGGATTGCACTGAAATGTGCCACTGAGGTTGGCCCACCGTGTGCCACCAGGGCTGACCTCAGCAATGTCCCGTTAGGAATGACCCCAAAAAGGTCCCACTGGGGATTTCGCAGAAACATCCTACTGGGGATAGCCCCAGATCATCCCACTGGCTATAGCCCCCAAAAATGTCCCACTGGTGATGACCCCAGAACATCCCCCTGGTGATGGCCACTTTTCCTTTTTTTTCCTTTTTTTTTTCCTTTTCCTTTTTTTTTTGTGCCACCTGGTGTAGGGATCCTGCTTTGGCAGGGGGGTTGGACGCAATGATCTCTGGAGGTCCCTTCCAACCCCTACAGTTCTGTGATTCTGTGATTCCTTCTGCTCAGCCCCAAAGCCCAGTCTTGGGGCAGCTCTTCATGCCCCCATTCCACCAGCCTGTCTGCCCGGTGGGACCCTGAGGGCTTTGGGTGCCCTGCAGGACTGGGGCTATCCCAGGGAGCCCCTCTTGGGGCTGAGGAGGCCCTGACAGCCTCTATGTGCTCCACAGGGCAGCCGAGGAGAGCTCTTGCTGTCACTGTGCTACAACCCCTCCGCCAACTCCATCGTGGTGAACATCATCAAGGCACGGAATCTCAAAGCCATGGACATCGGGGGCACATCAGGTATGAGCATGTTGGGCATCACCCCCAGCGCTCGATTTGGGGAGCTGGGATGGTGCTGCCTGCCTGGCTGGAGCTGAGCACCGCACTGTGCCCCCAGATCCCTACGTGAAGGTGTGGTTGATGTACAAGGACAAACGGGTGGAGAAGAAGAAGACGGTGGTGATGAAGAGGTGCTTGAACCCTGTCTTCAACGAGTCCTTCTCCTTTGACATCCCCACGGAGCGACTGCGTGAGACCACCATTGTCATCACCGTCATGGACAAGGACAGGCTGAGCCGCAACGATGTCATCGGCAAGGTGGGTCACCGCTGTGTCCCCACCACGGTGGAGGCAAAATGAAGACAACCAAGGTTTAATTTGTTTGAGGCTAAAAATGACAAACGAGCACAACCACTGTTGCCACAGAGAGGCACCAGGTTGAGTCTATGGGGGTTTCATGGGGGAAGTTGTCCCCAAGGGTTGGGGACTGCGTTGCGTTGATGCCTTGTGTCCCCTGCAGATCTACCTGTCCTGGAAGAGTGGCCCTGGCGAGGTGAAGCACTGGAAGGACATGATTGCGCGGCCCCGGCAGGCGGTGGCACAGTGGCACCAGCTGAAAGCCTGAGCCTCCAGTGTTGGGGACAGCGTTGGGGACGGCGCTGGGGACATCCTTGTCCTCGTGTCCCCACTGCAAGGCAAGACTTGTGCGAGTGCTTCCAGCCACAGTCCCCAGACCTTCACCCCAGCGTCACCCCACATTTTGGGAGGCTGCTGGTGAAACGGGGGAGGGTCCAAGCCAAGCTCCCCTCCCTTCCCACTCAACACAACCTCTCCTAGCCGCCAGTGTCACCCTAACGGGATGATGTCCCCGCATCCTGCCCTGTCCCCACCCCGGGGACACCCGAGGGATTGGAAGCCATGCCGCGGTTCGTTTGCCAAAGCAGGAGCATTCATCACTGCCTCTGGTGGGGTTTGCTGCTTTACCTCCCTCCTGGCTTATCCCCTGCCCCCTCACACCGTGCCATCAAGTTGTCGCCCCTGGTAGGAGCACCTGGCACAGTGCCCCCTCCTGGGCTGACATGCACCCCCTTCCTTGTGGGCACTGCATGAGGATGGAGCAGTGCCACCGTTGCCATCCCTGTTGCCATTGTCTCCATTGGTGGCTTTGGGGGCTAGCATCCAGCCAGCACAGTGCCAGCAGTGTCCCTAAGGTCCCTTGGCACCTCCCCGCTGCCACCGTGATGGGCATCCCCACCAGGTACCAATGGTGTGGGTGCCAAAGGATTGCAGATGACACTGCTTGGCATCCCTCCAAGGGCTCCCTGCTCTGCTGGATGTCAGGGATAAGGCGGTCTGCAGGTGTCCCCAGAGTCCCTTGGGTACATCACAAAGCTCTCTGGCAGGACACAGGCCACCCCTGCCCGCCTGGGGACACCATGGGGACTCTGCACCCCAGTCTTCCTGCTGCCACTTGGCACGTGTCCCCTTGGTCGGGACATCCCCAGGATGGGACATCTTCATGGTTCGGACGTTCCTGTAAGCATCAGTGGCTGTGCCCCAGCTGCTGGGGTTCATTCATTGCATGGGGAACCCCGTGCCAAACCCAAGGAGCAGCCATCACAGGGGTGCTGCCCTTCCAAGTGGCCCTGGGTCACAGTGGCACACTGTCCCCGTCCCACCACCAGTGAGTCCACCGGAGAGCCCCATTAGACCATTATGGACAATCTGGAGTGAAGTCATAATTCTGCTACGACAGTAATAATAATAATAATAACGATGCTTTTAGGGACATTTGTATTTTTACCACATCCTCTCTTTTTTTAACATAACAGAGGAGAGCCACGCGCCTGGGGAAGGGCCGCACAGAGCTGAGGGGTGAGGGGTCCCCAAAGAAGGGAGTGGGGCAGGGTGCCCACATCCTCCCCCCGCCTCCCCATCACCTCGGGGCTGTGTGTTCATTTTTAACTCTAGAGCTCTTAGCCGTGATCTTGTTCAGGTCTCTCTCTCTTCTTCATGTGACGGTAACATCCAACTGGTGTGTAAAATACAGAGAAAAAACAGAAAAAAAAAAAAAAAAAGAAAAAAAAAAGATGAAGCACTGGGGGGGGGGGGGGGGGGCAGCCTGGTGGAGGCCTCTTTGCAGAATCCTATTTTTAGGGAGCGGGGACCCTCATTTTCTGGAGGCAGCTCCCACTCTCGGTAATAAAGGACTGTGTGAATCTGCCCACGTTCCTTATCCTTATGGGGTGGGGGGGCAAGGGGAGGTCACAGTGTCACCTGCATGTGTTGTGCATGCCCTCAAGCACACAGCAAATCCCCAAGCACTGAGTGTCACCCCCAAAATTGATAATCCCCCCACAATGTTGAACATTCCCTGTTGGGGTGGGATGGGGATGGGTTTGGAATGCTTTGGGGATGGGATTGGGGTTGGGTTGGGGATGGGGTTTGGGATGGATTGGGGATGGGGTCTGGGAATAGGGTTAGGGAATAGATTTAAAGATGATGGGGTTGGGGAATGGGGTTTGGGGAATGGGTTTAGGGAATAGATTTTAAGATGGGTTTGCAGACGGGTTGTGGATGATGCTTGGGATGGGTTAAGGGGTGAGATTTAAGCTTGTTTCCCCCAGGAGGTTCTGTACACACAGGGCATAAAGCCACCATGCCCAGCACAGTGCCTGTCCCCAGCACAGGGGAAACATGGCAGCCCGGGTTGCTGGCAGCACGGTCGAGGCTCAAGTTGCTGTGATAAATAATTGTGCGGATGCTGCTCTTGAATAAATAAAAGAAATTCCAGATGCAGGGCTGGTGGAGAGCTATGCAGTCGGCACATTGGGAACATGGCTCCTCTTGAGTGCCAAAACAGGGGACAAAGCAGCCCCCCAGTGCCACTGGCTTAGGGCTGCACCCTGCTGAGCCACAGCTCAAAGTTTTGGCAGCGTAGAGCCCTTGATAGCAGCAGGGCTATGGCAGAGCCTGGGTTCCTGTGGCATCATCGCAGTGATCCCCAGTGCCTGCAGTCAGCGGGAGCAGATGGAAATAGCAGCACGTTCCCAGCTGCAAAACATGTATGGGGATCTGTGAGCAGGCGGAGAGGGATATATATAGAGACAGACGTACGGATGATGCACTGCAACGAGGCTGGCACCCAAAACACTTCCAATGCCTGCAGCAGGTCCTGGATGCCAGCCCCATCCCAGCACATATCCCAAAGCTCAGAGGGATGGGGAATCAGAACGCAGGGGGGAAAAGGCATTGGAAAGGCAGGGAGACCTCTGCAAGCATCACAAGCTATAGGCACAGGTTGGTGACACTCAGGGCCACCCGCATTCTGTGCCCTGCCGCTGTTCCCCAAGGGCAGACCCAGACTCCAAAAAGGTGACCAAAGCCCCACGTTAGGTTTTATCAACCCCCATCGTGGCAGTGGCTGCCAGCACTCCCAGGCATCCCACTGCTTCCTTGAAGCCCTGAAAATAGCTGTAAAGGAAAAAGGATATGGAAGGCATGGAGGCTGGCTGCCGGCCTCCAACCCCCTGCAATTAGCAGTGGATGTGCAGTTGGTGAGCCCAACAGTTTGGGGATGAGATTGCATTCAGACATACAAAGCAGAATAAGGCCACACACTGTACTCATAGTCCTTCCCCAACAACCCCCCTGCCCTGAGAACTGACCCCACTGCTTTTCTCACGCCAGACTTGTGCTTTTTATTGCCAAACACAGCTGTGGACTGTGAGCCTGCAGCCTCAGTACTTCTTCTAAGGCACGGCATGGTGAGGGCTGCATGGTGAAGGCTGGAGGTGAGATTTTCCATTGCCTTCTTTCAAAATCTGGAGAATGGGAGCTCAGCACGCAGAAGAACTTTGTTTGTCCATCCCTAAACTCAATGGGCAGTGGGGCCAGTGCCTCTTTCTCCCTCCTCAGCCAAGGAGCCAGGAGCAGAGAGAATCCACAGAGGCAGCACCATAGGAAGCAACCAGAGCTGCACTGCCCATCCTTGGGGCAGAGATGTTGCACGGTCAGAGTGGAGCGATGCCTCCTCCATCCAAAAACTGAGCCCTGTGTCTATTTGTGATGCTCCAAGGCACCCTGTGCTCCTCAGATTTGGCGCTCGGTGTCTCCACGATCCCTCACGGTGCGTCCTCCAGCAGCAGGGATCCATCATCCTGGGGGATCCTCCCAGCGCCTTCTGCCTCCTCTTCCTCAAGACGCTGTTGGTCCCGCAGCCGCTCCTCCCGTGCCTCCATGTACTCCACGGCCCCGCTGCCCACCAGCCGCACCGTGTCAGCCACGCAGGGCGGCTGCCGCACGGGGTTGTGATCATAGGAGAGCAGGCAGAGGCCGGCCAGGCACCGCAGGTCAGGGAAGCGGGCAATGCGGTTGCGATCGAGGTCAAGGATGCGGAGCTGGGCCATGCGCAGCAGCACCGGGGGAAAGTGCTGGAAACGGTTGCCGTAGAGCCAGAGGCCCTGCAGGCCGGCCATGCGGGGCAGGGAGGAGGGCAGGCATGCCAGACGGTTGTCTCCCAGTTGCAGGCTGCGCAGGCCGGGCAGACCCAGCAGGGCGTGGGGGAAGCGACCCATGAAGTTGCCCTCCAGCCAGAGGCAGCGCAGGCTCTGCAGGTGGCTGAAGGCAGGTGGCAGCCCCTGCAGCCCGTTGCGGCCCAGGTAGAGGTACGCCAGGCAGGGCAGTTGGCACAGGGCCTCGGGGACCTCCATCAGCTCGTTGCCATCCAGAGCCAGCGTGCGGAGGTGCCGCAGGGACGCCAGCTCAGCCGGGACGTCACGCAGCCCGGCACCACTCAGGTACAGCTTGCGAAGCCCACGCTGCGCCCACAGTGCCGGGGGCAGCCGCCCACCCCGTGCCTCCAGGCGCTGCTCCACACCCGCCGGGCCCTCAGCTGATATCGGACACGTGGAACCGCCGCTGCCCATCGCCTCCAACTGAAGTTACCGTCGCCCGAGCAACGCAGTATAGCTGGGGGTGGGGCCAGGGGTCACGCCCTGCACTCCTAGGCCACGCCTCTGCGCTCTTAGGCACACCCTCTCACCGCAGAATCAAGTAGCATGTCTCGAAAAGCCACGTCCCCACGTCATAGGCCATGCCCACCGTCTCTCTACTTCGTGCCCCTCCCCTCAGCTGTAAGGCTGAGCCCCCCAACACAACCATTTCCAGCACAGCTCCCTGCATTTCAGGGAGCCCACCATCCTGGGCCACGTGGGGGTCCTGCAGCTTCTGTGAAATGGCATAGAAATCCATGAGGTCCCCACAGTGCCATGCCAAGGTGATGGGCATCACCCATCGTGGGTGAGCAGCGGGGCAGAGATCACAGCTTGGTATGGGGACAGACAAACAGACAGGGGAATGGCAAGCTGTGGGGTGACCCACTGTGCCTGAGTACCTGGAGGCAGCAGACACTCGTATCAGGAGCTAGCAGCCACAGCTTTATTTGTCGTGCCCTAAGGGAGGAGCTGTCAGTTTGTGGACTCAAAGAGGTACTCGAGGTCCGGCTGCCGTAGCCTCTGCTCCTTCTTCTTGTTCTTAGCAAGCTCTTTCAGCATGGCCATCACCTCGTTGTCAAACACGGCCGGCGTGGGCTTGGCTTCTGCAAATAAGAGGCAGAGCGCAGGAGAGCAACTCAGCACTGCCCCAAGTCACCCACGTGTCCCACGGCATGGTGCAGTGCACACGTACCTGTGGCCCAGTAGTAGATGTCCCAGTCATTGCTGGGCTCGTTGATGAGCCGGTCATAGAGGTTCAGCTGCCGCTCATCCATACGGCTCAGGTTCTCCTTGGCAAAAAGGCTGCAGGAGAACACATGGGGGTAAGCTGGGCACAACCTCCAGCCTGAGAAAAAGCTCCTTCCTGCCTTTGCCCTGTCACGGTCTGTGCGAGGCCTCACCTGAGCAAGATGCAGTTCTCAAGCATGCCCCTCTTCCTGCTCTCATACAGCAGACGTGCTCTCTTGGTGGGCAGCGGCTCATTGGGGCGCTCCTTCCAGGGAGGCAGCGGGATCTCCAGCATGTCCTTCCCTGAGTCTCCCAGAGAAGCCCCACTGTAGCCACGTGGCATGCACAGCATTGCCAGCACTGGGCGGCACAGGGTGCAGGGGGAGGACAGCGAGTACAGCTGCCAAGGAGATGGGAAAAGATGAGGAGAGCCCTAGCAGAGCCCTACAACCCCCAGTCACCCCCATTACATGTACAGCCCCCCCATTCCCTCAAGCCCCCATCCCTGCTAAGCCCCCGACCCCACACACTGCCCCACGTTCCCCCTCCAGGCTCCAATCCCTCCCACCCTGCGCATGGCTCCATCCCCCCATTCCCCCCTTAAGTCCACACTCACCTTCATATTCCACCCCCAGATCTTGCTGCCCCACTCCACACTCCTCATAGGACCACCCAGACCCCTCATCCCCTTCCAGTCTCCAGAAACCCCAGTCCACACCTGTGCCACGCAGCCCCACTCCAACCCCCCTCATTCCACAGGCCCTGATATTCCCAATCCCCCCAACCCTATATACAGACTCCATTCCCCTCCAAGCACTAATCCCCTTGTATTCTCCCCCAGGCAGCAATGCCCTCCAAGCCCTACTCTGTCCCCATTTCCTCTGCAGGTCCCAATGCCCCCATC